GAATAAAAACCTTTAGGAAATAAAAATGTTATTTTTGGTAACGTAAAATAGATAATTTCAACAGGAAATTCCGGAATTCTTTCTCATTCATCAATTAATAATATAAATTGATATTATGGGTCAAAAAAATATATCCTCTAAGAGATAATTATTTTATATTCAGTGAAGTTGGTGTATTTATAAATTTGTGTGAGATCTCCAACTTCGTATTTGGACAACTTTCGACATTTCATATTCATTATCGCATTCAACATATTTATTTGCTCAAATTTTTAAAATGATTGGAACAAAAAAAAAATTGCAGAAAATATGAAGATAAATTGCATTTCTTCGGGCATAGAAGCTCAAAGTAAGAGAGTATTGGCATCTTTTGATTTGGCTCAACATCATTTTTATGGCCATCATTTATAGATATTCAGGTTGACAAGATATAAAGAACATAGAATGGAAATAGATTCCAATTTTTGTAGTTAACTCTTATCGATAATGTTTCACCACGCGGCACCTTACACCAAATAAGCTCAATTATTGCAGAGCCCACAATCACATTTGCCTTGTGACTAAAGTGCAGCATTGTGAATTATTTTATTTAAAATTTCTTTTTATGCCTATTGCTTGGGGAAAAATATTAGCTATGTAAAGAGTTATTTACCCAGCGTAAATGGGAAGAATATTGCTTATATCATGTTAAGCTGATCTGATATGGTCATCACTTAAGTGATATAATGTTAAGAAGTTCTTGATAAGTGAGCTGGGTAGATATTTCGTATCTAACAGGAAATTCCGAATATAAAGCTACATAAACTTTTGAAATCTTAACTGCTTTTTTCATCCTCTCCCGAATGAATCTTAGTAAGGAAATGTTGCAAAAAATCTGGAAATTTCAGAATTTACTGGAGACTTTTCTAACAAATACCAACCTTATATCATTAGAACTCGAGGCTTTTGAAATTCTATTTTTTACCGACAAACTTATTCCTGCTATGATTTGTTTTTTTACGTCAACTCGAAGTTAGTGGAAAGGAAAGAATTACGTGCCCTTATTATATGGGCTCCAAAAAAACTTTCCCCACTCAAGTTTTTGTGGAAGGATTTGTTATGGCTCAAATTTTCATAAAGTTCAAACTGAACTATTAGGGCATAGGTTAATGAAATTTGTGAACAATATGGTTGATCAAACTTTCATTCTAATATGGAAATTTGGTTGGGGTCTATGTTTTTTATTACTTTGTGGCTGGAAATATTCGTTTTCTACGTGGTATTTGAAGATACTGATGTTAAATTATACTCTACGGAGTTTTTGACAATGAAAACTTAACATAAAAAATTAAAAGAAGAATAACTGAGAATTACTTTTCCGTTCAACTTAGTCCTGAGGAAAAAATTAAAATAGAGGTAAACGGTATGTCATTATATATGAGAAGTTACAAAGGATGCATATTTCCGCTTCAGCATGATTACCACCAATGCCATTTAAAAATGACTCTGACCTACTCAAAATGTATTCCATTTTGCAGAAAAACGTATTTTCAAAAAAATCGTGCTTTCTAGTGATCCAGAAGTTTAATTTATATTTTTATTTATAAGAAAGAGCTAAGATAATTCAATATCAATAATAATTGATTGGTGTATGTTTGCGGAAGAAGTGATTTTTAAACTGTGTAAAATTGATGATCGGGCACAATTCAGGAAGATCATACCTCCTTAATATTCAAAACCAGCCATATTATTGCTATCACGTTCATGTGAATTCGTTTATCAGAAAAAACCATTAATAATGAATTCGTAGTCAGTTCATTATACATCTTACCCATTTACTCACATGCACTTTTGTTTTTTATAGAGACTTGACAGATCTCTTTGCTATTTTTACATATCAAAATCATAGCTTAGAAGGACACAGCGTTCCACAAAAATATAAAAGGGATTCAGCTCCAGTTAATGAAAAATTATGATTTTCCCACTGCATTTACGGAAATTATGAGCTTTTTTAGAACTAAAATAATTTAAATTAGAAATAGCATAAAATTATTGTTAAACATTTTTCGAAATATCTGTGTTGACTCTCTTTTCAAAAATATTGTATTATAAAAGGTAATTAAATTAGCAATAATCAATTTTTTTTGTTTTTAATGTTCACTCTTCCTTCAATTTCAATTAAACATAAACTATCAATATGAAGAATTTTTGCAAATTTATAATCATGATTTAAAACTAAATTATAGCCACCTAGTTTTTGCTTTAAAAAATGACTCATTGCTACGCACCGCACTTTAACTAACAGATATGAAAATTAAGTGGAAATTAAGAGTGAAGTTTTTAAAATATTTATTGGTATCATTTATCATAAAATGCAAGGAATATAAATAGTGAAGTTAATAAGGAAGAAATTTTCACTTACTTGCACTCGATGGATAATTATTGGCTGTTAATGATAAATGTCATCCAATAATGAGTTAGGTTAGTTGGAAGCAAAAGCTACTGTAGCTTCTAAAATGAAATAGTTCATCAAATTCTCCAAAACTTTTTTTATACGTGATTTTTCTTCCTCGAAATTTTAGCTTTTAACTATGAATTTGTTCCGTGCGAAGAAAAAAATTTCTCTTGCTAACTTATACTTTCTATTTTTAATTTAACAAATTTTAAGGTTTTTTTTTTAAATGTATGGAAGCACTACAAATAGTCAATATCATATGTAATTGATTTGCTTGGATTCTGAATTTTTTACAGATTTAAAATTCAAATTGATATGGTATTGATTATATATTTCGTAGTCTATCATTATTGACTATCGTTCGATTAAAAAATATTGCAGTTCAAGATTTCTGCAGATTCAATTCAAATTTCATTTCGCTACGATAAATGTGCTCATGACAACAAGAACCTTTTTTTCTTTTGTTTCTACAATGGGTAGAGCTGTGAATAAAGCAATCACTAATTAAAGAAACGGCTCATTATAAGTCAGTAAGATAATCCAATACACATTTCTGTTATGTTGTCCATTCTTTCTGATAAATATTTGTTTAAATTGAGATCATCGAATTTCGAAACTACGCTTCATTGCTATTTTCTGAATTACTTAATATCAGTAGGTATGAAATAAACCAATTGATAGAAGAATCCTCTATATTTTTTTACACTGTTTCGCAGCAGATTTTGGGTTATAACCAATAGTTCATTTTACAATCTCTCTTGTATTTCAACAACATCTGAAAGGGAAGTGTATGAAATCTCATCAAAGATTCAAGATGAGCTCTGTGATAGAAATAATATCATAAAAATAAGTTTTTGAATATAAAAAAAATGTCAAAATTTCAAACCTGACTAAGTAAAAGTTGAAAGTTAAATGAGGACTTACGAAGGTTCTGGAACTGAAATTGATGTAAATAAGAAAACATGGAAGATAGGAAAGAAGAAGGGAAATAGTAAAATAAAAGCGAAGAAGTGGTAAGAAAAAGGAAAAGAAAGCATAGATTACCATTTTAACCATGCAAAAAAGAAAAGTTGAAGTTAAGAATCATCTTATCAGTGGAACTTTTTAATTCATTTAAAGTCATTAGTACATAATGGTGTTCTGTTTTATAGGAGTGATAAAATTTCGGATGTCGAGGAATTATTAAGTTGAGAGCTTCACATAGAATTTAGATTCTTTAAATTGAAATTAATAATTTGGGTGTCTTATTGGAAGTTTCTCTCTTCTCCTTTATCTTCACCAAAAAAAAGATAAAAAGATTTCACGAATTTTTGCACTGAGATAAAAAAGGAATTGCACATTGGTTCAAACAACCAAAAAATTGACTTATAAAGTTCAAAGAACTTTATCATACATCTGGAAAAAAAAAGGAGTACAAAATTGTCGAAGGTTAGATTCCATCTTAGATCCTACGATCTTAGATTTTTTGTTGAATCTAGCCCATTGGATGATAGTGGAGAATAGATTAGAAGTTTGCGTTTTATAAATAGAAACTTTTTTCTAAAAAAGTTGATCGTCAAATTTGATTTGCAGCCATATAAAGCCTACTTAGCGGCAGTTTACCGCGACCATTTGTGATATTACTTCGATGGATTGAACGGTAATTTAATTATGTGTTCTATTAGACTATAATTTAACCATTTCAGATGATGAAAACACGATCGTTCTCTCGAGTGAAAATAAAAATCTGTGGAGAAATTAATTTGTAGAGAAGTAAAAAAAGAACCGAAATCTTTATTTAAATGAAAAATTATTTTTTAAAGAAATGAACAACCAGAGCTTAAATTTCATAAATAACTTCGCAGTTTTATTAGATTTTTTTGGATGAGAGGAGATACTGTTGACAAGGAGTTCTGTGTTATAATAGTGCTTCAATTATCTGTGATGTTGAAAGCATTTTTGTTGCTGGCGTCTGCAAATGATATTTTAATTTTTACGGTAGATGAAAAGCATGATTTCAATCCGATTGTTTTTTGCCTAAGATAAATCTGGAAGCAACTGACTTACAAATAAGACGAAATAGGTTAGTTATGTGATTTGATTCAGCTCCTCAGTTCAACGCTGAAGCAATACAATAATAACTTTTTAATTCAGTTATCTTAATACTGCTGTTGTTTGCCAGGAGCACTTCCACATGAAGAAATTTCCATTTCATGCAATTCACATGCTAATGAATAAAAGCTTTTCTTAATTATCGGTATAGAAATATTGAAAATCTTGTTCATCAAAGTAGTAATTATAGTTTCGTTGAATCAATGGGACTGCTTTGTTTACATTCATATATTTATTACTATCAGCGAATATCAAGACTTCCATTTATATCTTTTCCGCAAATATATTTTTTGTTTTTTTTACAATGAAAAGTCAATCACTTAACTACTATTTCCTCATATAAATGAGTTCATAAGCGTGCAGAAAAAGTTTGCTCATTGACTTTTTATTCGACGACTCCTCAACTACTATAATATTTTTAGGAAAAGTAAGTTAATAATGGTAAAGGGATTAATTCATTTCAGATTAATGAACAATGGATGAAACAGGAGATTACTTAAACCCAGAACCAGATGCAATATTTCCTACTGACTGTTCGCAATCAAATGAAACATTTACACGACTTCAGTTACTTTATTCTCAGCGCATCATTGCATGGCCAAACTTTTCGGAATGCTTACCACATTGTGAAATGTGTCAAGTACTTGTGTCTGATTCAACATACATCGTCTATAATTTGGTGCTTATTGGTTTCATCCTCCCATTAATCGGTTTCTTCGGTCTACTTGGTAACGGGATAAGTGCTTTCATCTATTGTCGACCAGGTATCATTAAGCTTAAACATAAACACAAATAAGCTACTAATGAGTTAAATATCCTGCGCGTAAATTTGAAATTGGACGTTCAAGTAGTTTTTCTCATCTCACTAGAAATACTAATTATGACAAATGTTTCAGAAATGCGTTCATCAACTAATATATATCTGTGCGCGCTTGGATGTAGCGACTGTGGAGTAATATGTACAGCAATATTTTTATTCTGTTTTGATATTATCAGGCGTTACTCGTTGCACATATCCTTAATATTTGGAACGTTTTCACCAATCGTATATCCAGCCGGTATGATCGCCCAAACATGCTCTGTTTATTTCACCCTAATGGCTGCTGCTGATTGTTTCGTTCAAGTAAGCAAGAATCTCAATCATTTCCCAGCAAATGATTCACAATAGACTCACTTGTTGGTTTGGTCTTCAAAACTGATTTTCAGTTGTAAAAATATAAAAATGGAAAATGCGCAAACTGCACTCGCCTTGTGACATGGGCGTAATTTCTGATCAAGATTTCTCTTGACTCATCTCTGCCTTTCTCCCTTTAACCTAACATCCCCTTTTAGTATTCATTCTCACTTTTGTTGTAGTCTGAGAACAATGCAAAATATTTTTGAGTGAAGTGGTTTTCATAATTTTGAAATTCTTGGGCCTAATTGAAATTCTTGAGCTCACCTTTGAAGTTTGTTCTGACCTCTAAAATATGATCTTATACGAACTTTGATAGTTTCTTCTTAAAGTTAATCTAGTATGATACAACACAATTTTTAATTAACACCACGGATACTGCAAAAAATGTTGCTTGATATAAAGCCTTGAATTATTTTACAGGTATGTTTAACGGATAATTGTCGAAAAGTTGTCTCTCGAGAGTTTTTCGTCAAATGTATGGTGCTGTTTATTGTGATATTCAGTGTTCTGTACAATGTGCCACATTGTCTTGAAACAGTTGTTTTAGAGTGTTGGCATACTCGTTTCGAAAGTCGTTCACTTGAAGTTTGCCCTGACCTATTCAGGTTTCTACCGAGGTAACAGTTATTAAAATTTTGACTCTAATAATGTCAGACAGTAATATCGATGCAATCTAATGTTTGCTTGGCTTTTAAATTTTATAATAATTTATTGTTGAATGTCTGATAAAATTTCATTCTTAAGGGTGAATAGTTTGCTGGTTGAGTAAAGATGGCCTAATTAATTTGCGACCTGCTAATTCTTCCTTACTACTTTGATTACGTTGGGCCATTTTATCGTCACTTAAACATTTCAAATTCATCATCTCATCTCAACTTAAGAATTCAAAAACTTCTATTTTTTTATCTAACATTTGATGTGTGGAAGAATTTGTAGAATCTGGATATTTAATTCAATTTCATTGTTTTCGGATGCAAAATTTCAGTTATAAGCTCATTTATTACAAATACATGTACTCGATATTTCTCGCCGTAGGCCCTCTCATTGTATTAGTAATTCTAACTTTATACATTATTGGCGTATCAGTTATTCTCCAGAAAGGTGGCAGTGGTTCCGGTGATACCATTGCTTTGGTTAGTTTTATCAGCTATTTGTCTTTACAAATACTCAGTCAATGAAAATTAATTCAATATGGTATTTAATTTTTAAACATATTTATTAGTTTAAAAACCTTGTTTCAAATTTGACTTGTTCCAAATTAATCCATAATTTGATCCTTGCTCAGATTTGTTTATTCAAATTGGTTTCGATGATATCAGTTCTCTGGAAGGAAATATTTCATCATCCTTGAATTTTCTTTTAAATCGTACACGTAGAAAAATCTTGCGTACTTCCAAAATCGAAAATTTGAAATTGAAAGAACAAAACCATTCCACGATTACAATTAACCACCTTAGCAATCAAGTTCTCGAACAGTTAAGAGTTTCTTCCTGAATTTATAATTTCAATTACAGATATTAGTGGTACTATTATTTATTGCTTGCAATGTAGCAGCACTCTTATTAAACGTTTTCGAAGTTCGTCTTGGTGAAATGCTGGGACCTTATATCAACTACGTTGTGGACGCATCCAATGTCCTTGTTGTCTTCAATTCGTCATGCAACTTTATCATTTACGTAACATTTTCACTAGCATTCCGTCGTACTCTCAGACGATGTATTTTCAAAACACATACAAAATTAACCGTTCAAACGAAAACAAAACCCTTTAAAGCAACCGCAAAAAAAATAAGAACGATAGCCACCAAAACTACTCCGGCAACAATTAGAAATATAAATTCACGTGCCAGTAAGCACGGCAGTAGTAGTAAAAGCAATAACGATAGTAGTAATGGTACTATTACCAAAAGTAATTCAACACTTCTTATCACAAACGGAAATACGACTAATTACAATCAGCAATATTATCGATATTACCAGCACCTTAGCTGTGATTATCGAAGACATCAGCGCCTTGAACATGTTGAGCAATCAACTAGAAAAGAAACCATCAACCATGCTCCGAAAGCAGCCCTACTAGAAATACTTGTATAGCAGTTTTACCGTTGTATTTTTCCTTGTAATTCGAACACAACCTCATGTTTTCATAGCAGTATTCTTTTCCTACTTTACCAGTTCCATATATTTCTTCGTCGAAATACAATATTTTTGTCACAACTTTCTTATCTAATGTAATTGAAATGCCAGAAGTGCAACAAAAAGACGAGAGAATTTCACTTCAGTGTACCCTTTACACACAACATATTAACAATTATATAAATATGTAAAATTAAAAAGTTACCTCAGCTTCGGCTGGTGTAAGATTTAAATGAAAAATCTTAGTACGCCGGAACAAGAAACATTACGCAACATATAAATGAAATTAATGAACTGTTGATAACATGAAAATATCACAGATAGAACTGAAACAAAAAAGCAACCATTCTATCTCATTAAAGAAATCAGAACTGGCCGCAAAACTCCACTTACCACAACAAATCACACTGAAATTTGAACTACAAAATGCAGGAACGAAAACGATGTACAAAGCGCACATTAACTCCACAGCAGTTTACAAAATTTCCTTGTTATACTTCTTGATTCATAACCTCATCGAAAAAGCTGCCTACTGCCATTTTGCCCAATGAATGAAGCGCTGCGCGGAGTATAAGATTCAACGATCAAACAGGAAGTCCACCTACTGATTAACTTCCAATACTGTGTGGTATTTCCGTAACGTGTTACCTGATTCTATCCACTAAATGCATTTTTCTTGGCCACTTAGAATATTGCAATTTCAAAGTGTTTGTTTCTCAGACCAGACAGGACTACAAACAGGATGAATGCGCAGTTTTTCATTACTGTGTAGACTTATTGTATGCCTGCATCACACTTGTACCTAATTATGGTTCATTAGGAACATCACTTGGACAAAGACTGTTATTGGAGCGAAACAATCATCAACAAACTTTGCCAAAGAGTTGTTGCTACAGCTCTCTTTGGCTTCTTTACCCAAGGATTAAACGAGCTTGCCGATACCTCAGTATAATTTGTCATGCCAAAACCTGAAGCTAGAAGATAACATGAAATTGCTCAATATTAATTCTGATGCACTAGGTGGTTGAAGTGACAAATGAAAAAACAAACCCGTTTCACGAAATAAGTTTCAAGTGACTGCTGCAATTAAAACGCACAGATTAGTATTCCAAAAACAAACAATCTTGAAAAATTATCACAAAAAACGAATTTTTCCGTTGTAATTCAATAAGGAAATAGTCTGAAGGCAAAAAGCAAGAAGCCAAAAAGAAAACTCTCTGAAATAAATCTGGAATCGATGAAGCAGTTAGCTGAAAGTAAAGGAGACAGTGTTTAAAGGGAACAGCAGTTCTCTATCTCTTTCTCATATAATCGTCAAATACGAAGATGTTTCCATCAAGAGAGACTTATTGATTGGAGATAAGCATCACTGAACCACAAGAGAGAAGAAATGAGTAACGCAACAAAACTGATTCAAGTAATATAAAAGTGAAGTTCTACAAAGAGACGGAGATTTTTTCCTGGTCACAACGTGCCTTTGAAAGCTGGTATTTTGAGTTTGGTATCTAACTGAGCATTGTGTTCTTTCATCGAACAATGACTGTAATATCGCACAAAGTCGACTAAAGAAGAGAAAAATAATTTCGTGTTGAGAAATGCAAATCCTGACGATTCTGGATGTTTTAAATCTCTGAAAAAGAAGTTTTAAAAGATTAAAGAAAGACTGAAATATTTTCACCCTAAAACTTTATTCGACATCAGTTGCACTACATTCACATCTGGAGATCGGTTCTTCAGTAGTGCACAAGAGAGTAAAATGTTGTTCGCAGGATTTAAATAAGCGAAAAACAAGTGATTTAAAAAGACTTTAGCCAGATTAAATTAAAGGCACAAGGATAGAAAGAGGTGTTCGAAATGTTTAGTTGGTTTTTGTAAAAAATTTGGGAGGAATTGAAACATATTCAACATATTATAAGAAAAACTGATTAAAATATCACCTGTATTCAATCAGACAATTGAATATATGATTTTCATTTGATATAGTCAGTGCATAGTGACCTGCTTGGGACTGACTAGGACGAATTAAAAATATTCCATTTGAATTATCAGGGTTACAGTCCATCAATGATCGAATAACTTTGAAGGCGCTATCCTGCAAATTCGAAAGTTGACTACAAATCCTAAGATTAAAGGGAACTACTGAAGTAGATATTTAAATGGAGAAACACTGCCTACATCTCACTCAAAACAGACGCTAAAAAAAAGTCAGAATAAGTCAAGTACCTTTGTACAATCAAGCGAAAGATATCTGTCAGGTTGCCACCGCAATGTTAACTGAAGCAGTATTCTAGATAGTGGTTCTTGTTCCAAATCAGCCAGAAGCGACACTTCTTGTAATACTTTATCCATCACTGCTTGAGAAACATTAAGCTGACAGAGACGGAATTGACAAGTGTCCAATTCTCTATAACATATTTCATTTTTTATTTTTTGAAAATGAATAATTTAATAATACACAGAGAATTTATTTCGGCTTCTGTAGAGCAAAGATGTCAAGCAAATAAAACGAGGAATTAGACTAATGAAAGTACTATAAGAACTACACAATAAGTTCAAAAACGTATGATGCTGCGATCAAAATTAAACAGAAAAATTTGATTACTACTCTACTTATGCAATTTCAACAATTTTGGAGTTAAACTGCAATGCAGAGCTTCGTTTTCTCTAATAATTTTTTCAATCGCTTCAATTTGCTCAACCATTTGTTGCTGCTGATAGCGTATACTTTCTGATCTAAAAAACATTTTCTTCTTTAAAAGCCGAATACTGTTAATTGAACTTGTTCAAATCAAACAAAATATCTGAAATCCATCACATTTCCCTTAATTTCGGCCCCAAAGATATTATGCAAAAAATTAACAAACATATCTTGAAAAAATTCAACACAAGTTATGTAATATCTTATAAACCATTTGATGATATAAAGACAAATAAATGCAGTTTTTAAGCAGAGCAAAGCTTCATTTGGCTAACTTCAAGCGAGATATAAAATGCTATCCTATAACTTCAAAAATGAACAAGTACTAGTTAAGTAGAAACGATGCTTATCACTAACACAACTACTGGTAGTAACTAATGTAACGAAAGTCGAACAAATATGTTAGTACCATAACCCTACGTTTATTACTTCATGCCGTAATGAAAACCGAAGATTCCGTCAAAAATAGCCTAGAAAATGTCTTGATAATCAGATAAAATGAAATCTTTTGAGCTGGCTTGTTTCTTTTGAATGGCATAGTTATGCATAATGTACGGTCGCATCTGAATAATACTAGATCACAGTAAAAACCCGAACGCTTCTGGTAAACATACCTCCTCTGCTGCTCTTCCTTATTTTTGTTTGATTGTGCAATTTCGGATTCATCGAATAACTTTTGCTTATTGCTGAACAGTAAAGAAAAATGCTTCTGATGATTCGTAGAGAAGTAAAAAATAATTTATATTTTAACGCCGCCTTAATAAATAAACATGCTTACTACATGAATTAAAGTTCTACACTTTAATTTACTCATTTCTACACTTACTAGCACCGGTCCTAAATTCCCAAATTTTGGAGTGGTTCCTCCAGTGGAAATTTTAATTACTAATGTAGGCACGACAACGAATTCTATATAAATCTACACAAAAAAACTCACTTTAATGACTTGTAACAAAAAGAAAATGCGAAAAGAAGTTTGGCCATTAATCAAAAGTTATCTAAAAATATTTCGTGAAAAGATCACCTTTCAAGTAATTCCATTTGTTTCAAGAAAAGTGCATATGCAGCAGAAAATGCAGCAAGTGCTTGTCGCTTTCTTTGCAATTCCTCTTTTAACGAATCTAGTTTTGCCGTAATCTGCTCATCATGCCTTATAACGCGTAAATGAGCAGCGTGCAAACCACGCAACTGACACAGTAAATGTTCCACACTACGTACACCATCGATAACCTGAAAGAAGTAAGAAATTTGATCTTTTAAACAAAGGAATAATCGCCTAACGTACTAGTTTGTTCATAAGATTCAGAAAAGCAGAAGCTAACCCACGAAGTTTGTTCGAAATTTGGTTTACGAAGTGGATAGAGAAGTTCTGTAGACAGCTGTCGATTGTATTCCAACAAGGAATTTCTTCGGTAGTAATCAATTAATGACACAACTGATTCAAATTTTAACATATCTTCCGTAAAGCCACAATGCTCACCGGCAACGATAATTCTTATTAAACGATTCCTCTGCAAACAATTTTCTTTTTTATAAGACTGCCTTTGTTTTCCAAAAAAAAGTAAAAAATTTTATAATCATCCGTCCTCATGTCATACATATTCATGAAGTTATCTGCAAATTATCACAGATTAACTTTATCATTGCACATACGAGATCACAAATAAATTTCAAAGATAATCTGTCATATCGCTTACGAAAAAAGAATCAACCACAAAGTGGTAATGGCGTGACGGTATGTATTGTGCTGTGAAATAATATCTACCCAGTAAAGAGCAGAAAAGATTATCGCTCACGCAAACATTTGTTCACCAATCAGTAGTTGATTTTGAAAAGCCTTTACAAGATATGCAGTTTATCCAGGACCCCATTTGCTAGTAGTGTCTGCTAGCTCAGTGGTGTCCGTCTGCTAATACAAGCAAACGACCGCATACAGAAGGTATTTGTTGCTGAACTATACTGCAAATCCAGCCCACGGCCAATTGCTAGAAAAAATAATTGAAAAAACACAGCTAACTTGACAACTTATATAACACATACCTCACCGTACCTAAGTGTAAGAGTATAATTTCCTTTACTTGAAGCATCGCGCACGCAAAATGTACCGCTTGGACAGTCCTGGAATGCACTTCATCATTCCTGACATTTTAGAAACGCTTTAACTGTAATAGTAATTTGATGCACGTCGCTCTTTCAGTTGAATTTACATTGCTCGCAGAGGCTTCCCTTACAACTGTTAACAATAACCTTGCCCTCAAAT